GRWWAMCYYYTYMAAMMARGRMYTAAAAAAAAAAAAAAAATCAACACTTACTATTAACACTGTGAAAATCCAACTCGTTGATCAAGGTGAATAACAAGCTGACTAGCAGCAGTTTAATAAGCTTCAAATCTCATCCTCTCTGTGCACGTCATTACAATGCAGGCTTAGAAAACAGTAACTAGTCCAGTTTTATTTGACTTTTGGCTCAACAACATAAACTACAGAACTCCCATTAACTTGAGGTGTTCTGTTCTGTCCTTCAGATTTAGTGATCTCCCACAAAGAGGTCACTTATGCACAGTTAGCAATATTTACTTTTTCATTAATTTCCACAAACAATAATCTTTCAAAGATTATTTCAAAGATTGGACAGCTGAGCTTACCTGGAGGTGTTCCTCAGGAACTATAACTGGCCCACATCTCGTATGGTCTGCGCAGGCTTTTTGGCAATATCTGTGAGGGTCAGCTTTCCTCCTTAAATATTGGTTTGTCACACATTGCCTTCAATGAAACATGAAAGACAGTCAGCACTGTTTTATAATTAAAACAAAAGTCTAGAATAGTCTGAAAGTATTATACTGGTATTTTAATAAAACTTTCACAGTGAAAATTGTTAGTTACACTGCTAGGGAGGATATAATGCTTCCAGCTGTTAATGGTGCATCCACAGGTTCAAAGAGAGATTAGGAACAGGTTCATAAATGGGGTACATATAAAAGGGAACTGGCAGCATGTATAGCCTTCAACATTTCCGACACAACAAAATGCAGGTGTCAATAATGAAAGGTTGGCAGATTTGTGTATACACCCTAAAAGAGCATCTGCTACTCCCTGGATCAGGTGGTCTGATTCAGGAGGGCATTTCCTACACTCTTATTCTATTCTACTTTTAAAAGCTATACAACACAATGTTAAATATCAAATATAGCAAGTGATTTTCAACAAACTTTCACCTACCTGCTTAGTAATATAGTACTTGTGGATTTGCGCACTTGAAACGTCTTCTCCAAATAAGATATAGCTTGGGGGAAGAGTTTGTTCTGAACGGGACAAAAAAAAATCAAAGTCACCCACTAGCAGTGCAGACACAACTCACCTGAAAGGCACTAACTATCGACTTACATGAAATTTGCCAGATGTTGTGGTACAGCAGAATAGGGGAAACCCAGACTCCCCAAGAAGTTCAATTACTATCAACATATTGAAGAAATATTTTGTTTCAGTATTCTCATATTTTGTTATTGGAATGACAAAATGGAAAGGGAGCCAGTATTAATTTCAATGTACAGCTTCAAAGAGGCTTTTAAAAACTACATGCACATTTCTCACTGATACCTTTGCACCCTGGGATACAGCAAACACCTGTCAAACTACAGCCTGCAGAACACTGGAATTATTTCAAATAGAGGCATAATCTATACACAGAGCCTTGGTTTTCTCGACTAGAGGATATTAAATTGCTGGTATTCAAAGCTTCTAATTAAATTGACCTTAAACTTAATTTTATGCATATAATAAAATATGTAGGCACAAAAACGGGAAGCAAATATAACATACCTTTATAAGATGTCTTTTCTCAGTCAGCAAGCTACATTTAAAAAACAAAACAATCAAGCTTTAGTTGTAAGGTCTCCATTCTCAGCCACGGAGACAAAAAAAAAAAGAAAAAACCTGCCACAACATTATACTCACTTCTCAACACTAGTGTCATATACAATCTTAATTCTTAGCTGTTGATCCACGTTTCGCTTCGAGACATGATTTTCCTTGAGAGGAACTTGAAAGACAACCTGGCGAGGAGAG